GACAAAAAACAATATATATATATATGTTGAGGTTGTCTTAATCAATAGGCGACATAGAGTGATCGAAAGTGCTAAAGCTATTATTTTTTGCTTTGTTTTATATTTTATTCTTTTTATATATATATAAAACTTGTTTTCTTTTGTCTTTTGAAATAATAAGAAGAACCATTTTTTCCTGTGACCAACAACAGCAATAATGTGATTACACGACAAAGACGCGGGGAATAAGGCACTAATGGAATATAACTAAAAATTTCCTATTCAAAGAAAACAAAACCCAAATGTTTGTGGAAATGATTAAATGTATAAACCTACCAACCAATGATTTTTTTGATCCTTTTTGATCGAACATAACAAATAACGAAACATTTCGTAGCACCTAATAACTCCCCAACAGAATAAAGTTTTGAGCAAACTTACTTGTATGACTGATAAACCAATGCAGATAATTCATATGTTCAATCAAAACTAAAGTAAAAAATTTGTACTTTTTTCTGTTGACTGGATTTTTTTTTATATTGAAGAAAAAAAAAAGATCATTGTAAATAAAAAAATCGCTAATTTCGAAAGAAAGCAAAATCAAAAAGAGACAGAATGAGAAGAGAAGCACTCAAAAAAGGGAACAAACCCAATTTTGCTTTTTGGACCTTTACGGCTTTTGCTTCTCATTAGGCGTGAAGCGTTACTGTCTACAACTCTGGGTCCCACTCTCTAATTTTTACCCCTTTTATTTCTTGTTTTCACACCCATAAATTACCCTTCTTATTTTATATAGATAAACCAAAATTAATTGCCAACTTTTACTGGCTTCTGTTTTATTTTGGATCCAAAATGAATAAAATTTAAGAAAAATGTAGTAACTCATTTTTAATTTACGAAGAAATAATGAACATGAAGAAAAATTGAACATTGTATAATTCTTTGAAACTTTAAAACCTGAACCCAATATCTCTCCTATAAGAATGTGTAATAATATTGTTTTTGCAAACTCGAGAATAGATACTAAATAGTCTAAATTAATTATCAAAACAAAAAAAAATAATAAGTGGTAGATTTCTACAAAAGACACGGCATGATTGTTAGATTCGTATGTTGTAATTTTAGTTATAACAACCATGTATTGCCTAGACATGGAAATCCACAATTTCATATTCAATTATTCATATATACTATTATTTTCTACCCAGACATTCACATATCTATATTTTTACTATTTTTTAAAAAACAGCAATTAGTTTTTTAGATTGAACTAATTTCATTTTTATAAAAAAAAAAAAAAATCGGATTCAGTTGTGTGTTCCAAAGAATCAAAGCATCTTCGAAACATTCTCACAAAATCACGACCAAAATAAACGTGCCAAAGAATTAAAAAAAAAAAAAAGCAAGAAGACGAAACCAAACGAAAACCAACCGTACGATCAGAATAACAAAGAGTCAACAAAAGATCAAGACGGTTAGATCATAAAAAAAAAAAAAAAGCGAGCGTACCTGAAACGTATCCGCTTCAGATCATTACCACCACCGGGAAGAGAAACGAAAGTAATCAGAACTCCAGGCTCCACCTGAGCTACCCATTCTTTCGGCTCTTTCTCCTCCACAAACACAATCGGGTCGACCCGGTTTCTCCCACTCGCCGATTTCGGTGTCGCTTCGCCGCTCGATATACCTTTAAGCCTCGCTTCCATCTCTTTCCCCCAAACCCTAGGCTGCTGCGTCGCCGTCGCCGACGATGTGATCGAACTGTTTGATCTTCCGTACAGCATCTTAAACCGTTGATCCGACTCGGAATCCGATTTCGCCGACGAGGAAGACAACGACGGATTGTTTCTGATCGGAATTTGTCCTTGCGCCGCCGTGCACGGTGTACAATGCCGGTAAGCACCGGAAGCTTTCAGTGCCATATCTTTAAGCTGTGAATGAATTGACGAAATTACCCTCGATCAGAAGAGAGAATTACACGAGGGAGGAGGAGGAGGAGAGTGATTGTTGAATTTAATTTATTTACCTGAGATGTTAGAGATTTGGCGTGTTTAGAGTCCGGATCGTCGGGTTGACCAGAGGATTCATCGCCGGGTCGCTTCGAACGAGCTATACACGTCAGCATTTTCCGGTGACTGTGATTTTCTTCTTCTTTTTTGATACG